GGGTGCGGGCTGGCCGCGCTGAGCTCTCCTCTGGAGCCTCCCACAGCCCTTGGCTGATCCCTAGGGCGCCTTCCCTGTGGGAGGGGACCCTTGAAAGTTTGGAGAAAGACCCTGGAGTGCGGACCATCCTGGATGGGGAGTCAAGACAAAGTGACTGGACCTTAATCGCCCCAGCGGAGGCGTGTCTGGCTGTTGGAGAGACTTGTCAGGGGCCCATTCCCCTTCTAGCTCATAGCAGCCCTTCCTGGAGTCCCAGATGGATTCTGGTTCCCAGCTGGACACTTTCGGCCTTTGTACCTGATGTGTGAATACCTGTGACCCAAACATGCTTCCATCTAGAGAGCTGGATTTCACCAACGATGTACGGTCTAAGAGGTTTGCTCTCATTCCCTGGCATATAAAATTAGTGACCATTGAGAGCCAGCTGCTTCCAGACATTGTATTGGGGGCTTTAGGTGCACATGTCATGTGAATGCTCACAACTCCTGGGTCTGTCATCACTTTATAGGTAGGAGCTGAGACCAGAGAGGTTAAGGAACCCACCCAAGGTCACACAGCCTGTGCTGGGCCGAGCTGGAATTGGACTCCAGCCACCTTCTGCCCCAAACAAAACGTAGGGGCTTGTGACCCAACTGCTGCCGCACGCTCCCGTGGTTTTGTTTCTTCCATGGTTAAGGACGTGGTGGCTTATTTTTACTTTTAAGACACCGTAGTTTAATGACAGATTCCTGGCGTCGCCTATTTCTGGGCATCCCCGTAGTAGGAACTGGGGCCTGGTGGGATCGGGAGGTGCCTCCCAGCCTTGGCCCGTCCTCCTTGCTTTCAGGGTCCTGCACCTGCTTGTGCAGCTCAGTGGAGAAGCCTGGGCCCTTGCTTTGGACATAGGGAACAGTGTTCCTGTTCCAGAGCCGCCCGGGCCTGGTCTTTGCACCAGGGTTTAAAAAACAAGAAAGCTTTGCATATAAATGGCCATCCATCCAACAACTTGAAAGACTGACCCTGTTCTGAACTATTGAAAACGGATTGTACCTTTTGGATAAAAAAAAAAAAGGCTTCGAGGTCAGTTGACTGCCAGCTGTCATGGTGCCTAGAAAATGTGCCCCTGCTGTTCAGAGCTGGACGTCTCCTGGCCAGGGATACCACCCCAGTTCCTGTGGCAGCCCTAACGCCATGTGGCCCCCCACCTGGGAGCACACAGGTGCTGTCACTGACCCGATTGAGCTGGTGTCACAGGCCAGGTTCGGGGGCTGAGGGATTCCACCTTGGCTGGTGGTGTGAGCAGGTGTGAGCCTTGTCCCTGCTCCCTTTAACATTCAAGGGAGCGTTGGGTGCGTGATCTGGCGGATCTGGAGGAGTTTCAGGCACGGAGGTAGGACCCTACCTCGGTTGTGTGCGTTGGGGTAGCCCCGCTTAACCCGTTCTGCCTCGTTTCCTGGCATTTCTCGATTGGCTCCAGAAAATAGGCTTGCCTTAGACACTGCTTCCAGATTGCTCCTGCACCCAGGGTGTTGCAAGTTCCTCCTGGAACGCCTGGTTGGTCAGGTAAGGCTGAGAACCTTGAAGGAACTGGAGGTTTTGAAAGAAAACCTTTCACCCAGTCCCCTGACTCTGTGGGAGCAGGGGGAGCTCTGTTCAGGGAGTGGAGACAGGCATCTGGCTGGTTTGCCTTCTCTCTGTTCTGTCTGCTGTTGACCATGCACTGCAGCGTCAGGACCTCCGTGTTTCCACGCTCCTGCCAGGAAGGTGCCCTGATGTTCGGGGTTCGAGCTCAGAGCATGGCAGGGACCTCCCAGACAGTTTGGGTGGCTGTGGATTGCATCTGCTTGTGCTCCCTGTGCCTGCGAGTGTTGCTTGATTTGAATTCAATTGGAAGGTGTTGCAGGAAGATAGGATCTGGGGAACTCCCCGCTACAGACTTGTCGCACACCCTCCCTGTCCTCCCCCACCCCTGTTGCAGCACTGATGACAATAAGGGTGAGCAGGCTGGTGTCTCTGGTGGCTGTCCTGACCCGGCAGCCCGCCCTGCAGTTCATCATTGCCCATTGCCCTCCCTCCAACTCGATTCCCACTAATCCCAGATTAGGGCTGACACTCCATGCCAGAGAGGCCCGGAGAGCCACAGCTTACTGGCCCCCTGCGGCCCAGCCTCTCTGCCCTGGCTGGGGAGGAGACCACTTCTCAGCCAGTCCCTGGGGGTTGGGGGCACCCTGGAAGTCACGATCATATCCAGCGTCTTCGTGAAAGGTGGAATTCTCTATCGAATGGAGACGGTAACTCTTGAATTCTGTCTTACCCCAACTTTGCATTTTAAGACCAGAAGGAATCCTAAACTCTCCTAGCAAAGCCCCTTTCTTCTGCAGAGGGGAGACTGAGTTCCATGAGCTGGAGAGACATGCCAGGGTTGAACCAGATCCTGGTCCAGGTCCCCTGCGGGCAGGACATTCGAAGTTGAGACCTATATGATCCTTTTCACGGAGGCCCAGCAAGAAAGGATAAAAGGGTTTGATTGCTTAATGAACCATCCCTAGCTGTGGGGCTCCTTTCTCCCGGGACCTGAGGCTTGAGCACTAACCCGTGGAGCCTCCTTTGACTCTGAGTGACCCATGGCCATGGCAGTACAGGTCCCTCCTGTCGGACGGCCCTGCGGTTCTGACCCTTACTCCGAAACTATTTTTAAATTAGACAGGATGGTGAGTTGGAGAGACAGAGAGGAAACCATGGCTGCTCTGCCAGCTGGCCGGCCAGATGCCAGGTGTGTGGGGAGCACAGGTGACTTGCCTAGAGAGCTTTGAAAAAATGCACATGCCTTCCCCCTGCAGTTCGGACTTAGCAGGTTGGCAGGGGTGAGGGCGCACACTGTACGTTTCACAATTTCCCCAAGCCGGCTTCTTCTCACACTGAGAGGCTGCCAGATACACGCCAGTCCCTAGGCCAGCGGTTCTCAGCCTGTGGGTCGTGACCCCTTGGGCGGTCGAACGATCCTTTCACAGGGGTCGCCTAAGACCATCCTGCATATCAGATATTTACATGACGATTCATAACAGTAGCAACGTTACAGTTATGAAGTAGCCACGAAAATAATTTTATGGTTGGGTCACAGCATGAGGAACTGTGTTTAAAGGGCCAGAGGTTGAGAACCACTGCACTAGGCCAACTATCCGTCATTCACCCCACAGCACCTCTCCACTCTGGCGTCCCAGACACCCAGTTCCAATGGATCTGATCACAGTTCAGTCATGAGAACAGACAGCCTAGAACTGCCTCAGTCACTGACTTGGAACGAACACCTCTTATCCAAAAGCAACAGCTGAGGCTTTCCCTTTAGTTCCCCTGGTAACTGACATTTACAAAATGGTTTGCCATGACAGTCAGTTACCCCAGCGATGGCCCACACCCCGGACACCCACCTGGGAAGCTCTGGGTTGCGTGCTCTGCCGGTGAGCTGGATGGCGCTTCCCTGCCTAGGCGGGTGCCCACACATTGTGAGTATTGACCCCAGAGTGGGGGCCGCCTTTTGGACTTGTCCAGCCGTGGGCCACCCTGAAGCTGTTTGTTTCTTTGGTCCTTTGCCCCAGGGTTTTTTTTTCAGAGGGATGTTCTAGGTGCAGATGACCAAGGTTGTGGGACAATCTGTGGTTTTCCGAAGAAAACAGGAAAGATGCTGTGTGAACCTAGATAGAGCGTGTTCCGAGTAGCTCTAACTTGTAGATGAGCTTCAGCAATTTAAAAAGGAAACAAAGTGATAAGACTGCAGAGTTTTCCTATTACATAATGAGCTCCGAGTGGTGATCACAAAAATCCAAACTCCTGGCCAGCGACAGAGGCCACGCTGTAAGAGGTCAGTTGGCAAGGATGTGAAGGCAGCGTTGGATAAGGGACCCGAACGGGCCACTGCCTGCACCCTCCACCCCAAACCGGCCTCCTTTCTGTTCCGTGAGCATATTCCCTTTGTCTCAAATACTTACTTAACCTTTTTCTTCTTTAACTTCTGTAAAGCTTTCAGAAGATCCCTATCCTCCCATTTGCCAGGTTGCTGCCCCACCCCCACCCCAGCAGCCTGTGCTTGTCCCAAATAGCATTGGCACCTGGTGCTCACTGGTGTCTCATGGAATTGTAAGCTAGTCCGGAGCCCTGTCTGCCCGGGCACAGCCCACCCGGCGCCCAGCACAAGGCTGGCTCGCAGCAGTGGGTGTGGGGGGTGGGATGAATGGCAGGGCCTGTGAGAAGCTTGTCGCTGGTGGGGAGAAACAGTGGCCATGAGCATCACCCCATCTGGACACAGGCCTTCCCTGCTTGGGAGCCAGCCAAGCCTGGGCAACACAAGCTGTTTAACGTGCTTTGTTTTTCACTTCTGAAGAATCAACATTAAAGGAGGCTTGCTGATGACTTTGCAAATTGTCCGCATGAAACCCAGGAGTAGGCGCCAGTTCAGGTTGCTCCCTGCACTCACCCATTCTCCCAGCCTGACCAGAGCTCAGAGGAAGGAAGAGTGGGTGTAGTGTTAACTAAAATGCAGCCAAAGCTAACTCGACTCCCATCGTGGGCTGCTGAGCTGGGAGGGGACTTCTTGAGCCGCTTGGAAGAACTGTGTTCACTGCTCAGGCTGAAAGCTCTGGGGCTGTGTGACCTGGGGCAAGTCCTGGCCTCTCTGTGCTTCATTTGGAGAAGAGGGTAGGTTTGGGTTCAATCTGAGAAAGAGAATCCACTCTGGATGAGATGAGATCGTCGTAAGGCATTTAGTAAATAGCGTCAACAAAGGTGGGCTGCTTTCTTGTAAAGTCTCTTTTAAAAAAACATGATTTTTTAAATTGCTCTTAGATTTACAGAAAAGCTGCAAAAATAATTCAGCCTAGTCGGCATGGCGTCGACCTATGAACCAGGAGGTCACAGTTCGATTCCTGGTCAGGGCATATTCCCCGGGTTGCAGGCTTGATCCTCAGTGTGGCGCGTGCAGGAGGCAGCCGATCGATGATTCTCTCTCATTATTGATGTTTCTATCTCTCTCTCTCTCCCTTCCTCTCTGAAATTAATGAAAATATTAAAAAAAATAATTCAGAGTTTCCATGTATTCCTCACTCAGCCTCACATAACCATAGCATAATGATCAGAACCAAGAAATTAACATTGGTACAATGTTACTGTAATTTATAGTAAAATGATACTAACATTGTAACAGGACAGAAAATTAACATTGGCACAATGTTACTATAACTCATGGTACAATGATGTTAACATTGTAACAGGACAAGAAATTAACATTGGCACCATGTTACTATAATTCATGGTACAATGATATTAACATTGTAAACAGTATAAGATATTAACATTGGCACCATGTTACTATAACTCATGATACAATGATGTTAACATTGTAACAGGACAAGAAATTAACATTGGCACCATGTTACAATAATTCACGGTACAATGATGTTAACGTTGTAAACAGTATAAGACATTAACATTGGCAATGGTCTGTAACCACTGAAGCCCTCATATGAATTTCACAGCTTTTCCACCAGGATCCTCTCTTGTTCCAGGGTCCCATTCAGGTCCCACATGAAGTTGTTGCTTCTCCTTAGTCTCCTGCAGTCTTGAACAGTTTCGTATTCTTTCTTTGTTTTCCACAACCTTGATAAGTCTGAAGGATATTGATTATTCTTTTGCCAAAGGTCCCTCAAATTTGGTGTTTTTAGATGATTGGACTGAGGCTATACAAACTGCAGAAGTGATGTTCCCCTTTCCCTATACTAAAGCACAGGGTTCGTGATGTCATTGTAACTTACTGCTGGGGACTTGGGCCTTGATCCCTTGGTAAAGGTGGTTTGTCTTCTATCTTTGGGCCCCTCTTATATCGTTCCCTCTGAGGTTAAACATCTTGTGGAGATACTCTGAGACTGCACACATCCTGTTAGCCCTCACACTTTGCTCGCGGACTCCGGCATCCCTCTGTGTGACGGGTCTGCAACAGTTACTTCTGGGGAGTTTGCTTAATGATGGTTTTTTGGTTTTCATCTCTCCTACATTTATTCATTGGAATTCCACCGCAAGAAAGGGCTGCCGCTTCTCCTCCATCCATATATTTAGTTGGTTATTTACATCAGGGTAGACTCACAGTTATTTATTTTATTCTGTGCATTATAATCCAACACTGTCGCTGTTGGCTGTGTTGTTTCATTGACTGTTGTTTGGCCACGGGCAGCCCTGTTAGTAGTAGCCTTTGTGTTCTGCCATCAAGACAGAAAGATATGTGTGTGTGTGTATATTTAGCACTTCCTTCCTTCATGGCTCCACAGATGTTTTTTTCCTAGACTCATCTTGTGTTTTCCCTCTTCCGGCCCTGGATTCAGCCCCGATTCCTGCTTTTGGAGAAGTGTTTAGGAACCGAGATCCGGGGTCATTACTGCCGGGGTCTCATTGCTTCTAGACTTTTTTTAGTGGACAGAGCTAGGAAATGTATGTGTGTACACCAACACACTCATGCACATGTCTGCATTTCTCTTTCTGTCTGTATCTTCAAAACCATGACTTTATACGGATCCCCTGGCCTCCAGGTCAACAGCACAGCGTTCATTTGTTCTTCCCCTTTCCGTGTTTTTAACTTCCTTCTCCAGGAGGGAGGCATCGGGTACTCGTTGTCTGGAACATATTTATTTACCTGGTCAGTTCTGGCATCCACCTAGAGTAGCTTCTGAATTGCCAACCTGTACCCCTGTGAGACACACATTTACTGCCGAGGTTATGGCATTTATCGGCGGTCAGGGCATTGTTTCCCAAAGTGTCTTAGGTTAGAGCCGTGTTTCCCCACCCTTCGGGGGTTATGATACTCATTGGTAATGAAGGCAGTCAGGTCCATGTGCTAGTGTTGGGGTTCCATCGGGGCGCCTCCCACATCCTGATTAAAGAGAATCCGTCTTTACCCAGTGATCTGGGACGCCACCCTTGCCCCCTGCTAAGTTTGCTCCTGTGTCTGGGGCTGTTTGGGACGTCCTGTTCCCGTCCACTGGTGTTCGTGCAGCGGTCCACACAGCTTGAAATGCGCAGGGTCTGCAGTGGGTGCTGATGTTGGCAGGGCTTGGCCCCTCGTGGCTTTCCTTTTTCAGTGTTTCCCTGGCAATTCCCAGGTGGACGTACAGTCTGGCTCTGGCCTAAGCGGGGTAGCATCTGCACTGGGGCTGTCTGCTCACGGACAGTACGGGACGTGTGGCAGTTCGTGGTTGGGTGTCGTACACACGCTTGCCTTCCTGAAACTCGAGGAGTAGGCAGTCGGAAAGGGAAAGGGAACCTGTGTCCTTGTTTTAACTTAATTCCTTTCCTTTGTGAGACCACCTTTGACATGAACTTTCCTGGTAGGATCTCTCCAGGGTTTTAATCCATGAGGGGCCTGCCATAGGTAAGAGGCTATGGACGGCGCCCCCTGATGCCCAGGGCAGGAGCCTGCGTCCAGGCTGCTCACGGCCGGCCGGCAGCCGTGCTCTGCAGCCTGGGACAGAAGGTGCATTGTTTCCCTCGAGCTGTCCGGCAGCTGTCACCACTCCTGCTGACGGGTGGCTTCCCTGCCTGGCACTGCGCTCCGTGCTGGAGGCTCTTCTCTCAGCCGGACGACCCCGTACCCGGACCCGTGTCATCCCCAGGCTCGTGGCTTACCCCTGGCCAGCAGGCCACACCAAAACAAGCACAGCCTGGAGGGCGTCCGCCGAGCAGCCCGAAACTGTGACTTCATCGCTCTTGGGGAGTAGGTTTCATTCTCCTCCCCTGATTTTTGGGGGGTGAGATCGGTGTTGCTGAAACAGGGCGAGGTTAGAAGCATGGAATTGGAAGTGTTCTGTGCCTGTTAGCTTTCCTTTGCGTCCTGGCGGATTCTTAAGAAGTAGCCCCGGATGATGACATGGCCTGCTCGTGTGGGCTGTGCCTGCCAGCAGAGCTTGGGCGTCTTTTGCAGAATTTTGTTTCCCCACCCCGATCGTGTCGTGTAGCTGGAACCAGCTCACCACGCAGAGAGTCTCTGAGGTAGATAGAAAGTGGAGGGAAGCTGTGGGGTGGAAGTTTCTCTTGCAGCCAATCAGAACTTCCTTGGCCACGATACACGTCAGGAAGCAGTTTAAGAAGAGTTTCATGCCAGATTGTGGTGTTGGCATAAGTGTTTGGCCTCTCGAGATAATTTATTTTGTTTATTATTATTTTAAAATATTTCTTATTGACTTTTTTTTTTTTTAGAGAGAGAGAGAGGAAGGAAGGGGAATAGAGAGAAACATCGATGATGAGAGAGTATCATTGATTGGTTGCCTCCTGCACACCCCACACTGGGAAGCGAGTCCGCAACCCGGGCATGTATCCTGACCGGGAATCAAACCTGCGACCTCTTGGTTCATGGGTTGACACTCAGCCACTGAACCACACCGACTGGGCTCGAGAGAATTTTTTTTTAAAAGGACAAGCCCTGGTTTGTTCTTTCATAAAACATCAGTCTTGTTGCCTTGGGGGTCATATTAATTGAATTGCACATCTCACACGGGCAGAGTTTTAATTGCAAGAACCTAAATGGACATAGGCTGACAAGCCCCGGGGAGTTTACTGGAAGGGTGCAGAGGCTGCACAGAGCTGAAGGCTGGGTTCAGCCGGGAGCCCTGGGGGCAGGAGCTGGCAGCTCTGAGGTCTGCAAGGCACAGCCACCAGCCTGGCTCATTGCCAGCCAAGGAGTCCCAAATTCTAGGGAGAGGTGGCCGGCCCCAGGAGTTCCTGCCCACCCACCCTTGGGCGGTGGGAAAAGAGAAGGGGGCACCTCAGGTGCAATGCCAGGGACCAGGAAGAAGGAACTCTCTACAAACAGGGCTCTCACCAGAGGAAGGGAGGACACAGCCCTGGCACCCGCTGTGCGTGGCCAGACGCTGTGCTAGAGCCGCAGACCCACAGGCCAGCGTGGGCCCCCCACCCCCTGCAGAGCCTGCATTTCTTTACACTGTGAGCCTGCGCATTCAGAACGCCCTTCGCCGTCTCATCGTTAGATTTGCCCTTGTTCCTGGGAGTCTCTGCTTCCCATCCTTGTCCCATAACTGAACCTGCCCCTGAGCGGGAGCCAGCCTGAGCTGGCCCACAGGTGCATGCACAGGTGTGTGCACTGGCTGATAATTGACCTTTGCTACTGCCTTGAAGCCCAGGTTAACTAAAAGGGGCCCTGTTACGTTTTCCTAGATGTGCAGAGCTTTTCTAGCAGAAGCCTGACTTCCTCTAAAAAGCAGGCATCGCCGCTCTGCACGCGTCTCCTCACTGCGCTTCTCTCTTCCAGGGCCCGCTGTCCCTGTCCTTCGAGGAGGACCCGCAGCAGCCGCCCCTGGAGCTGGCGGTGCAGCAAGTCTCCAGTGCGGCCCGGTCGGCCCAGGAGAAGGTGAGCTGGGTGTGGTCCCCTGTGAAGGGCCTCTAATGAATCTAAAGCTGATGGGGGTAGTTTGTTCTGTCTGAGAATTATTTGAAAATGTAGACGCCTTCCATGAAGAACATCTGCTCATCAGCTGGTGGATGGAGACATGAAACGTGGTATAGCCATACAATAGGATATTATGCAGCCTTTAAAGGAACGAATCTCTGACATGCCACAACGCATGAGCCTTGAAGACATTATGCTCAGTGAAAGAAGCCAGACACAAAAGATCACTTATTGCAGGATTCCTTCTGTGTGAAGCGTCCAGGATAGACCAATCAGTAGAGACAGAAAGTAGACCAGTGGTCGCCAGGGCTGGGTGGGGAAATGGTGGTGACCGCTGTGGGTACGGGGTTTCCTTTGGGGGTGATGAAAATGTTCCCTCGGTGATGGTAGGCATACAACGCTGGGAAGCGTACTTTAAAAACATTTAATTCTACAGTTTAAGTGGGTGAATTATATGGTATGTGAACTTATATGTGTATGTGTACATATGTATATATTCTGCAATATGATATATAGATTTGAGCCATTGAGATAGTATGGAGAGTTCATTTTACCGTTGCTAACCACTCACAAGCTGAAATGACTTATTAGACTCGTCAAATACCATAAATAATTTTATTGATTTTTTTTAAAACGCAAAGTGACTGTAAAACATCCCAAAAACCACATCCACTTAAAAGCGTACCACGCAGCAGCCGGGGGGAAGGGACACCTTTTGTGACCCCAGGTCGATAGGCAGAGCGTTGCTGGCCCCAGACACCTGCCCACCCGCCCGTGTGTACCTCCCCCTGTCTCAGCTGGAGTGTTGTTCGTGCATTTGTTAAGAACATTCACCGCTTTGTGTGTACAGCTTTACAGCCAGCTTTCCCTGTATAGGGCGCGGCAGTTCTGAGAGTCATTGGGTGGACTTATGTAGCTCTGTACATTGGCTTCAATACGGTCAGGGCTCTGGACGGCCCGCAGCTTCCTCCTCCGTCCTCTGCCCACGGGGCCTTAGGCGGTTCTCTCTTTGTCACAAGGGCAGCAGCTGCATGAGCCTGACTGTGCGCAGGGTCCTAACCCTCAGCCAAGCATGGGAC